TGCTGTGCGGTCCATTATACAACAACTTGGGTGGTCTGCGAAATCGAGGCGAACTAGCCGGAAGAAAAATCTTTTTTTCAGACCTCAAAAATCGACTTTCCGTGAATCGGCATAAATAATCAATATGTCTACATATGTGTTCTTATAAACTGATCTTGCTGAGCTGATTCGAAGTTGCTATAAGTTGCCGTTGTTGATCAATGGCTGACGTTTGGGCGATTTCGTCTTCTTCAGAGCCGTGGTGTTAGGAGTGGGAGTCCCACATCAGATCGACAGGATCAGTTCATAAAACATGTAAATAAATATATCAATTTCAAATCTCTACTTTGGTATTGCTTTGGACCTAATAGGATCGCGTTCACGGTGGAACGGAAACGCCAATAATAATACCTCGACCAGTGAGACCTGCCTAATATTTCCCACTGGGTGGGTAGAAAAGGGTAAAATATTTGTGTGTTCCACAGTTGTCGAACTACAAGGGTATCCCTCTCTCCCTCTATGTTTTTTGTAGCCCCCATGGTGAAATCTAAAGAATGGACAGCAGTTAATCGAGAGAAATGTATTTTTTTCCTTCTGTGCATCCATCCACAGGCTATTGCTCTGCACCAGATTGACACTGGCGGAAGTCTGGTTGTCTCGACACACTACCGAATTTTACAGTTCACCGCTGAAATCGTCGTCGTGACCTTTTTCTCCATCACTAGATTCAATTTCTTCAAATTCGTCAATACAAGAGATTCCTTATTGTTGTTGCCATCGTCATCATCATCTTCTTCTCTACTCTCAGTGAACAGCAGATCGAGACCAAAGTTCAATTTGTCCCTCCGATACGTGATTCAAGTTCATAACATTCAGTTGTCGGCTAATAATTGATTATTATTTTGTTTCCAATTACCATGAATGAGTAATGGCTATGATCTGGTCGGGAGTAGTAAAGGGAACATTTCAGAAATGGAATTGTACTCTGTTTATTGCAAAGCTATTAACCACATTCAGGCAGCATTCTGGCTGATGGTCGTTCAATTTCTCCCATGTTTCCTAAGCAGACAAGCACTAAACAATACATAGACGTAGAGGAAATGTGTTGAATAAAGGGTGTGGAAATCACTAATAGGATATGCCAAGAAAAGCGAGATTAGAAGCAACCTTGGGCTGTACGCATTCATTTCAATTCGTTCCGCGTACCCCGAAAAATTATACAAGTGGGCGTGCGGTTGCCATGAAGATTCCGGCCTGGTATTGTTTGTGGTAAATCGCCCATAATTAAATTCACGAAACTGTTCAGTCATGCGATCAGTGATCAGTGTGTTTTGTAGCTGCTTAACTAAAAGCGTTCCTTCTAAGGTCATAGTAAACTCTGCCGATGAACATCGAAAGTTTTCCGTATTCATCTTCAGTATTCTATTGAACATTCATTTTACTTTTCGCTGAAGGAAAGAAGTGCTTCGAAAATTCGAATTCCTAATTTATACAGCGTTTCCATTAGGAAGCTCAGCTAAGAGTAAACGAATATCACGATCCACCGCTGTCCTGGCATCAAACTAGTCGGGTAGTCGGTCCCATGGTGGCAAATCTCCCTCTGATCCACAAGGGCTGTGGCTGCCTGTGGTAGTGACGGTCTGGAGTAGACTTTGCCCAGGCTAACCTCGGGATCCCAGTGAGCCACGATAACTAAACAAGCAAAACTCCGGCAGATGGAGAATATGCTAGCGCCCGCACAACCAATGAAGACAGGCCATCCGAGTATCCAAGTAAGTAAGTATTTAGGCAACATTAGACGATTAAAAGTAGACAAGATTTTTGGGAAACAGTTAAGCACTCCGAGCATCAACGACCTAAAAAACTGGAGGCAGAAAGTGTTTTTGGGGAGTTGGGTTCTTCATTTCCCTTTTGCCGCTCTTCCAGGATCGCTACCGAGGTTGTATGTCCACGTTACTTTTACCTAAGCTTAACCTTATTATTGTAGACAATTTCTTTCATCAAAATTTAGCTTATCATTATTTCTTAAAAGAGTAATCAGACGATGTCATGCCTTTGTTGAACGAAAGAACAACTTTCTTAGGTATTCATAACATTCTTTGGCTTGTCACACCTCGTGGATTTTTTTAAAGTGCCAGATTATCGTTGCTCTTCGGTGGACTAAAATTATACCCCGGATCCCGGTGGCCTCGAGCTGGCTAGTCACGATGCTACGTGGTGCGCGCTCTTCTACCTCGCTGGAGGTTCATGTACTTCCTGTTACAGTACTTAGCTCGAAGGGAGTTGGATGATATGGTGCTCCTCACTACCGCAGCACAGTGATCCTGTTACCTTATGACTTTCATGTATGCGTATGTGTTTTGCATGAAGTGCTTATGCGTTTGTTTAGGACGGTTGTTTTTCTTCGTGAGTTATTTCTATGCCTTTAAAATCTACCGTTCTTTTTAGTACAGATCTTTTCATAGGTGGAGTCTGTCAATATCCACTTGTTATAAGTCGGTCGTTTTTTTGACCTTCTTCACCAAGAATTTGAGCTAAAACTTTGTCTTCTGAAGTGTCACTTTAGAGTATTAATTTATGTGTTGCATCTGTTCTCCCCCGTCTCTTCTTGGATCTTCTCAAACATTTCATGTCTTAATAGTCCTTCTTATTTTCTATGTAAGTGTGCTATTTTGCAACAGGCAGCGTTTTCCCGACTACAACTGTTAGACCTAAAAGAAATGCATTCTAATTGTGATTTCGACTAAAGCCTCAGCTAAACTGGGTTCAGTGCAGATTTGGGCTCCCCAGATCAATCCCGTTGACGGGTGATTGCTGATGACACTGGTAGATAGAAAACTAGGTGACAGAAAAGCGAAACGAAGGACCAGCATAGCGTGATGCTGAACACGTTAGCCCCCGGAAAGGGTAATAACGAATTTGAACTCCACTGCATACACCTGCTGTTCAGGGTTTTGCACATATTTCAGCATTGTTGTGGTCGTGCTTTTTTATTTAACTGAAGCTCGAGGTTTTTTAAACAAATCTTAAAGTGGACCGAGCGCGAAGATCAGTTGTACATGACAGAATGGCTATAGTGTTTTCTATACTGCACTTTCTTGAGGAAGTAGCAGGAGGAGGAAGTTCTGTCTAATGAGTACTTGTAGGACGGCGTTGCTTCAAAACAGAGTGGTAGTTTTGGGAAAATAGTAATTTTTGCGGCTGACCCTGAAAACAGTTTCTGTTCTTTTGTTCATGTTTTCTGAATAGTACTCTCCTCCAACATTTTCTCTTCCTAGGCAATTGAGAAATTTGTTTTCCATCTATTGAAAATAGGAGTACCTTTTCCATTTAAAACTTTACACGAGGTGTTGTTTTATTCTTTGCTACTATTGCTACCGTAAAGCTGACGTTTCGGGGATTTCGGCTTCTTCAGGATCTAAAGCGTCAAGGCGGCTACAATTTATCCGGCCAAATACCTCCATTACCAAGCAGAGAACATACTAAACGAAGATTCCAATCGCACTGAAAGTAAAATGGCTTCTTCTCACGCTCACCGCTTTCTATGAGTTCTCCACTGAACATCTCGTGTGGAGAGCAACCGTACAAAGTTCACGTGGGAGCGTTATGTGCCTCTCACATTAAAATAGTGCTTTTGAATACTGTATGGTATCACTAGTTATGACTGGGCACTCCTTTCTGGGGTTCTCATATAAAGTGCGTGTTTTCTCCAAACTTATAGAATTGAACGTTTTTTTTTTGGTCTTGATTCCATTATTTAGGTTTGCCTTTCTAGGAGGTAAGAGCGGACCCTGTTAAACTCTCATACCTCACCTATGCTCTGGAGAAAGCTCCCTTTTCTATCCTTTTTGATTCTAGGTATTATCTTCGTGTTTACGGAACTGGTAATAGAAGGTCTAGTGCATGTGTTCGTAGTACTTTAGAAAATTGATTCTGAGAGTGTTTTCATGCCATAACCGCATTGCTATTCCGCTGCTGCTTTTGCGTCAGCCGATCTCTGAGCGGTGATGACGTGATGAATTACTAGACCATTTGTAATCTGGAACATTGCTCACCAATTAGAGTTGATCTGCTTGCGGCTTTTTCCATCGAATCCATCTGCTTTGGCCTGTTTAATATTTGTTTTACCTACTTCATCCGTAATCCCCTTAATCGCCTTTGATTCCAGCGCTTACCATTGAGATCCGCAATGATCGCTGAATGCATAGGAGCTTCCTTGTAGATTCTGCTTGCTCGATAGATTTGGAGGCGATTACAGTTTTGGCAAAGGATCACCTATTTAATCGCTTTGACGAGAGATTACCCACTAGTTTTGTCGGGATCACCCGAAGTTGCTGCGGACTTCTCTATCACCTGTATTACTTGGGATGGGTAATAGCAAAGGAAAATGGGTGAAATTTTTTACATTGTTTTAGTTGTTGGAGAGGATACCATATCGAGTCTCTTGTGACTTCTAACCACATGATAGTTTCATTGAATTAATGTGGAGGTATGAGCACGTCTGTGCTCGTGCGCATGAATGAGATTACTTGAATCGAGAGCGCATGGGTCTTGCCAGCATTTCATTCCTTTAATCCAGGAGCAGCCTAGGGCTAGCATGCGGGCGCTTTTGATCCGTGTTTCGACTTTCTCGCATGTCGCACTCATGAGCGCGTATCACTGAAGCGCAGTTGAAATGCGCGTTGAGATCGAGATGTAAGGTCCGAAACGTACAGCATCGCATGTGTTGAAATCAATGTGCATGGTCGTGCAAGGGTCGTGAAGGTCTTATGTGTTCAAAAAGTAATCTGTCTACATGAAAATATTGAAAGCGAAACAGTTTCGGTCAACCCTCTGCAGTGAATAGTTAGTACAATATGAAAGGTTTTTTAACCTTCTATCCGCCACAAATTAACGCGGAACGTTGTCTGTTGATCAATCAGCTTGAAGATCCGTAGATGCTGATGAATCTTTTAACAGATGTCGCTGATTTCTGATTGGTGTTCATTACCAGACACTCAACTCATTACTCTTGTTTAGATATGGCTTTGGCCGTTCCCACCGCCATAGAGGTTGGGAGATCACCATCAAGCTCTTCCGCGAGCTCAGTTCCACCAGCTGAGGATAAATTGAGAATGGTTAATTTTAGTGTTTTCCATATAACCCCATTTGCCTAGTCAGTTCAGTATAGTCTAATCATTCTGTTGTCTGTACCACTTCAGGTAAGCATAATTGGTGGGGAAACAATATCCTTTGACTGGAAACCAGACGATCCTCAAAAAAATAGCGAACTAGTGTCAATTTTGTTTGAGGTGATTGGGTAAGTGTTCGGGTTTTTTACTTTTCATAATTTATTCATAAAGGATAAAAGATAAAGCTCTCGGCGTTGAAAAATCCCTGAGGGATACGCCATGCATTCGACTTCACTAAGCATCGTTGGAAGTGATTGAGTGCAAATCTGGCTTTTACAATGACTAGCGGTGGCCTATCGATGTATCGAGCCAGTAGTGCTATCCTCTCAGACAAATGTAGTACCATTAGCCGACCTCGGAAGTATGGAAGGCCAGATGAGCTACGGGAGCGGGGATCGATCCCATGTGTGTATCGCATGGCGCCGTCGACTTCTGCGTCACACGCGCCCATAATAATTTTTTAATAAGTCAACTATTTCAAAACGAGTAACGAGCTACACAATTACATCGTTTGTCTATATGATAATGTTTGATGAACTCTGTCGTTGCTGAGAAATAACATCGATGTTTCAGCGTTACAGTTCTTTGTCTTCATTAATTGGTAAACGAGTCTGGAACTCACATCTTAGATTTTTGCTCTCACTTTATTTCTCCTCATGGACTTGTTTACCGCAAAATGAGGTCGTCTAGAGTGCCGTGAAGTAGAAGCACATATTCATTCCTTGCTAGGCTCTGCATCAAGCGCCTTCCTTGTGCACTTCCATCCATATTTCTTCATCTGGATAATGGATCGGCCAATTTTAATAACGTGGACAAAACTAATATCGATGAAGTGCGCGCTGTGATAGAGGATTTCAACAAAGTAGCTGCACCGTATGCTAAGCTGGTAAGATGTTTCCTGTTTGGTGTCTTCGTTCATGTTTCTCCTGTTGGAATAAAAACAGGTTTCCACCTGTTGCAGTGGAAAGGTCAAACGAATCCAGCGTTCGAATCGTGGAGTCAAGACAGAGCTGATGTTGATTTGCTTACTATTATTTGTAGTCTTTCGTTCAGCAGGCAAGATCCTTTGTTACGTCGTAGTATTTTTATTATAGTACCTATTTAGTATCCTTTTAGGGCGGTTTCGAATCCTCAACTGCTGAACAACCATTATGCACCGTTTAGTAGCGGGGTACTTCGTTTTCTCTATACTGATCATGTAGTTTTCGTGCTCCATTCAATCTGTACTTTTTAAAGGTGTACGGCGAAACATCCTATGAACAGATGCAATCGATTATTGATCAAATAGGCTTTCGTGAACAAGATGTCTTTCTAGATCTTGGTTGTGGAGTAGGGCAATTGGTGATGTACGTTGCAGGAGGGACAAAGGTTCGAGTTTTCACCGCTTTCCACTTGAAATTATGGTATTAAAAAATTGTATTTCAAAGCAATAATAACGACTTTTAGGTGAAGAAGTCCGTTGGTATTGAAATCAATGACTTACCGGCAAAGTATGGTGCCGCTATGGGAGAAGACTTTTCCAAGTAGGTTATGATGAACGTTAAGAGGAAAGCTGTAGATTAGAGCTGAAGAAATTGACAACTTGGCAACTTATTGTTCCTGCTTTTTTCTTCATAGGTGGATGAAGTGGTGGAAAAAAAAATGTCGTCCGTTCCAATTAATTCATGGCGACATGTTAGACGAGCAGTACCGAACTCTTATTACTCAGGTAGGTAGTTCTAGTGTTTGTTCAAGCGTAGTGGGCGAGCAGGTATGTTGGTGGGTGATCTTTGAATGGCTACTACCAGATTAATTCGTTGTACTTGAGATTTCAGTCTAATATGTTTCTTTTATTCCATTTCAGAATGAGGTAGTAAGTATGCAAGAATTCTGTTTGTTAAACAGTTTTCAAACGGATCATTCTTTAACTCCGGTGGTGAAACCTATTACCCGCTACCTGTAAACCTCATATAACCTCTGCTTGTTAAACTTCGCAGAAATTCCTAAGGAAATTATGGTATTGAGTAGAGCATTTTCTTTGCTTTCTTTTTTTGTTTTCTTCGGTAGCAACAGCTCTCTGTGGAATATTTCCTAAACTTGATAACCGTTTTGATAGTGCTCCTCTCCAATGTGCGAAAGAACTTAAGTTGCTGTTTAGCACCAAATATTTCATCAAACTCATGGCAAATGGTTGCTGTAATTGTATCACGACAATGTAACACCTGTATGAAATAACTACTATTTATTTAAATACAGCCATAACGATGCTGAGATATTTGCAAAACTCCGGACCACAGGTGCTTGCGGTGGGTAACGAACGCACCATAACCTTTTCCGTAGGCTAACGCGTTCACCACCACACGATGCGTATCCTTCGTTTCGCCTATCTGTCAGCTAGTTTTCTATCGATCAATGCCATCAGCAATCACCCGTCAACGAGATTGATCTGGGGAGCAAAAATTTGCGAGGATGAAACCAGTTAAGCTGAGGCTGTAGAATTTAGTTGTTCATCTTTAGAACTTAAAATCGATATCTATATAGGTTCGTTTTTACCTTAAGCCTTAGGAAGTTCTAAGTCCTATCTGTTTGTAGGAGGCGACTATAATTTTCATTAACAACTATGCTTTCGAACCGAGTCTGGATCTACACATCAAAAATATGCTAGCCGATTGTCATATGGGTACTCGTATCATTTCCACCAAAGCTTACGCGACTGGCACGAAGAGAGTGAACATGCGTAACCTCGGAGGTTAGTCATAATCACAGAGGTTTATCTTGCTTGCTGAATTAAATACTGTTGATATTTAATGATTCTTAAGCTTATGCTTAGACTGACCCTATTTCCAGACGTGGAGTCCATCATGGAGGTCAGTCAACTGAAGACAGTGAAGCAACCAACTTCCTGGACGCCAAACACTGTACCGTACTACCTTCACACGGTTTCCCACTACAAGGTTCGTCATTCATCAATGCTTTCTGCCCGGTGTTATACTTGGATTGGTTGGCACTTCCTGGACCGAAGTCCATGAGGAGCATCGATTTACGGGCGTGAATTTAGACGCGGCGCGGTCGCGCTGCGACCGGTGCAGGTTGAGGGAATCGACTCGTCTCGGCCGGCCGTCGCTGGCCCGACCACCGTCTATACTGCCTGTGGTCAAGGCCTGGCTCTGACTCGGTAGTACTTGGATGAATGTGGATGTTTTCGATCGTGTGTACTGTGATCGGATCATCAACTTGCTGTAATGATGCTTCGAACATGTATGATCATTCGTCGGAAACTTTCCTGTGAAGCATCCTGTTGGGTTTTGAGCGCTGTTTTTGTGAGAAATCTGGAGACGTTTTCAGTTTCAAAAGCTTAGAGTAGAAGGAGCCAGTACACCATAGTGCCAAATCCAACTAGGATCCTGGGGCATGTTTTAATCCAGATCAAGTCGATCAATTTTGTGCCATATTGGTGTCATAGCTCTGAAACGGCTGATGTGCAGTTTCACTTTCAAAGACACTAATCTGTTGAAGTCTCTTTTACTATGGAACGTCTATGGGAAGTGTTTTCTTGACCGAATACAAGTTGTTTGACCCAGAATTCGTGGAGTAAGGTAATGAAAGAGCTTTGAACTTAGTGACAGTCGTCTGTTCATTGGATTTATGGTTTCCCGCCATTCTCGTTTCATATGTGATTTTTTGGCTTGAAAAAAAGACAAAAAGAGAAAAATCAGGCCAATACAATAGTCGGGTCATAGAAGGCGGTTACGGTAGCGCACAAGACGACCACCCGCGTCGTGTGGGATTGTTCTGTTAGGTTCCTGACGTTAGTGAGGTAGAACGTGAAATGCTTTTAAGTTTTAATACTTTCGTTAGTACCATCGCTTAGTGAAGAGGTAGTCCATGATCTAACAGTCATATATAAGCCACTTGTCTGTTCAGAGCAAACATAGGTGTAGGTGTGACACATGTCAGTGTCGTGGCGAGACATTCTACAATCATCACAGAGCTTATCATTTTCATTTCCTCTACGTGCTTGCTGATTTATTATGCTTTGTTCAGATTGATTTTCGGAAACATCGAAAACTTACACTCATCGATTCGTTTTCGCTGCTCGTAAGAGAACGTACATTGTTCATCAGCCTGTCCATCATTGTGTCTTTAGCTTACTCTGTGGATTTCTGTGTTGTCCTGGTCCTTACTACTTTTTTAAGCGCAGCATAACTATTTGATCATCTTGTTAACCTTTATATCCTTACTGTCTTCTACAATTTTTCATGGCAGGTAGTAGTACATAGTTACTAGCGGGTTCGTTTCCCACCGTTGACACCAGCGTTTCGGAGTTTTGCAAATGTCTCAGCACCATATCTCGCATAATATCCTGCCATCAAAAATTGTAGAAGGCGGCAAAAATAAAACAGTTAGCAATGTGATTTCAAATACGGCCTCAGCCTAACTGGGTTCAATGCCGATTTGGGCTGTCCAGATCAATTCCATTGATGGGTGATTGCTGATGGCACTGATCGATAGAAAACTATCTGAGAAAGAATCGAAACGAAAGACCTGCATGGTATGGTGGCGAACGCGTTAGACCGTGGGAAGAGTAATAGCGCGTTCATTCCCCACCGCCGACACCTGCAGTCCGGAGTTTTGCAAATATCTCAACGCCTTTGTGGTTGTATTTCGCATAATATCCTGCCATGAAAAATTGTGAAGGCAGCAAAAATTAAAAAGTTAACAATGTGATTTCAACTATAGTCTCAGCCTAACTGGGTTCAATGCCGATTTGGGCTGCCCAGATCAATTCCGATGACGGGTGATTGCTGGTGGCACTGATCGATAGAAAACTAGCTGAGAAAGGCGAAACGAAGGATCCGCATGGTGTGGTGGTAAACGCGTAAGCCTCCGGAAACGGTAATAGCGCGTTCGCTCTCCACAGCAGACACCTGCGGTCCAGAGTTTTGCAAATATCTCGGCACCATTGTGGTTGTTTTTAACCATCTTTTTAATCTGTAGAGTTTTCTTTGATAGCCCTTATTTAGAATGCTTCCTTTATAGATGATGAATTTCTTTACGCAGCGAAAAAACGGTGGTGAACTGTCTCGTTCTGTTTCCTCCTCAAGTAAATCGGGCTCTCGCTCACCAGATAGTGTGGTTAGTAGTAATTATGTGGTTGGATAATATTTTTCAACATGGTTGTGTTCATTTTGTGTTTTAGGAGCGGAACAGATTGCAACAAACGCGAAACAACGACTCTGTGAAGACAGAAGACGCTGATGACTCTAACGGTGACAGCGACTCCAAGGCGTTCGTACTTACATATAACGTTCCTTGAGAAACCGTCGTTTAAACTGGCAATAGATATCTTGAACACGATATCCCATAGCTCCCTTCTACGGGGTTGACAGTTCTTAGCCAGTGTTTCATCACAAATATTGGATTTCTTGGATCATTTTGTCGATTTTTGACCACAGTTTTCACCGTATGTTTCACGATTCGAACAGTTATAGTGCGAGGTTCTATAATCGAGTACGAAAAATTCTGTTGCATACATGGACTTTGAACGTACTTAAGTACTCAGTATTGGATAGTACGAAGTCAACCATAGTGTTGCTGAGATATTTGGAAGACTCCGAACTGCAGGTGTCTGCGGTGGGAACGAACGCGCTATTACCCTTTCCGGAGACTAATCTGTTAACCACCAACACCATGCAGGTCCTTCGTTTCGCCTGTCCCTCAGCTAATTCTATCGATCAGTGCCATCAGCAATCACTCGTCAACGAGGTTTCCACAAGTGTTTTCAACGAATGGTCGTTTACGAGAAGCATTAGGATGGCAGAATAAACTTCATAACAGCTATCTCTTTGCGTTTTCTTCCATTCACGTGGCGTACTTATCGTCTTTTTTTCCTTTTCTTTATTTTCTAATACTCTCGATTTCCAGAACTGCTGCTCTAAGCACGTGCGTTGTCTTTCGAGAGATGTCAAGCAGTTGTGATTAGATTTGCTGCGGATTCATCGTCAAGAAGTTACCATGAATTCTAGAAGGCCATTCATTTCGTTGTTTTCAAGCGTCAACCTTGGCACGTGACTTCTGAAGATAAATTTATAGCATATGATCACCAGCGAAATTCAACGTTGATATTACGAACCGTTTACTATGTCAGCTTGAATTCCTACAGAAGGAATTTTAGAATTCGCTTCGCTTCATTTTTACTCCAAGAAACGTGATTTGAGTGGAAGATTAAAAAACTTGAACTTGGAGGGTCCTTTTTCCTGAGCAGTGCAAGACTTCCATCTTTTCTTGCGGATATCGTACCGCCGTCCATGGCGATGGTATGCGTCGAGTATGGCGATGTGTGCTAACATTATTTCATAGTCAGTAAAACATTCATAGCTATTAATACAGCTGGTTGGTTCTATTTACGAACACATCTGCTAAGTTGGTCATTTTAGAGGACAGTGCACAGTCTTGGGATTGTTCTTGGTTTTGTCGTTCATCCATCGTCTCCACTTCTAGCACACGACGCAATTTGTGTATATTGTTTTTTAAAAATATATTCACCTACACATCGAGGGTTGAAAAAGGTTTGAACCGCAAAGCCCAATTTGGTATTTTATCTACCGGTTATGTTTCCAATTCGCGTCGTACACTTCTCTCACCTTCTTGCACCATGAAGACCGTTGAGTCAAGAAAGTGAGCAGGAAGTTTTGTGTTGTCGCTTTCCTAAGCCCAGTGATCATACTTTCTGCTTTACTCATACTCCTCGAAAAGACGACGATATCGTAAGAAAGTCGAACATTTGACGAGAATTTGCGGTCACTGCGTATGACCTTCATAAAACAGTGTAGTGGCTTCATTATCCACTGCAGTGCGATAGTAAAAAGCTTCGGCCAGACAGCGTCGCCTATTCGTGCTACTTTTCCCATGGAAATGATATGAGACCGATAGGAAACTTCTATTTATGAGATGCAATTTGTTAGCAGTCAGCCAGAATTCTGATATAGGACTCGTTGGTCGAGGAGCACTGATAGGATTCCATTCGTTTCTGTGCTGTCAAATGCTTTTTCGACAAAAGTCATGAAAGAGTTAGCAGAAGGGCATATGGTATTTCTGACAAACTTCCATGGTGCTCGATACGGTATAGATGTGGTCCATGCGACAGAATCCCTCTCTGAATCTTGCTTGGTCAACTGATTGTGCATCATCTAAAGTCGTTGGCATTTGCGACCTGACCCCGGATCGCCTTAGTAATCTCGTCGGTCACCGTTCTTAAGCTGCATTGACCATTTGCGACGCTTTTCATTGGTCTGGAGTTTTTTTAAGACAAGATTTTATTTGAGTTGCGAGATCATGCAGTTTGTGTCTACAAGATCAAAGGAAGTTGGTTGTGATATCGAGTCCCCAAGCTGTGCCTCTCTTCATGCTTTCTATCGCTACTTTAGTTTCTAAGGGAGGAATCCTAGTGTGATTTTTTTCCAGTTAATTTCTAGGGTAAGAATTCTGGTCTGACTTTCTCCAATCGGCTCCTACGCGACTGTTGTGGTACGGACAGGGTTGGTATAGATCTTATCCGTTGTTAATTCCACATCATAAAGGACATTGTAGTCGCAAAAGCTCTAACGTCACATCCTAGGATTCCTTCGTTTTTGAGCTGCTTCAAATAGCTTTTTCTATTTGTTTCTATATAGATCTTCCTGCAAAGGTCTTCTAAACTAACATTTATTATTGACAGTGTTAGATGTGTAGCTTTAAGTCCAAGTCTGAATGGCCTGAGTTTGTTTGGGAATAGGCGGGTTCCAAGCTCAGTTTTAAGGCCTTCTAAAAGTAGCATGAAGTTTCCCATCAAGTTGTTAGATCCCGTACAGAATTATTTAACGTTTTAACACAATTGTTGCACAACAGAGTTGTTAATCCTTTATTTATGGGAGTTTCTTCGATCTACGCATGAGTTCTGCCATTTTAACGCTTTCATGGCTAGGTGCAGTTGGGATTTCCCATCTTCTCGGGAAGTCAGTTCGCACGTAAAGACAAGCTGCAGTTGGGATTCTACAATAGACTTCCAGTTATCATTTCTTCCTTCCATTCAAAATTTTCCAACACTCTGATCGCTTCCATTAGTGTTTCCGAATTAATATGACTTCATATCACTTCCTCCACTTGATTGTTGAACGGTAGTTTGATCGTGTAAACTGAACAGGGTTGTGGATAGTACTTGATAATAGTCACCATCTTTTTGAGCTGAAGATGGAGATGACCAAGTGAGGTGTTAGTTAAGTGTATGCTACCGTTTCTATTAGTGTAATCGCTTCAGAATTTGCTCTATATTACAACTTTTTTTAAACATTTTAGCTTAGTACAATCACAATAATGCTGAGATATTTGCAAATCTCCAGACCACAGGTGTCTGCGGTGGAGAACGAACGCACTACTACCCTTCCCGGGGGCTAACGCTTTCACCACCACACCATTCGGGTCCTTCGTTTCGCCATTCTCTCAGCTAGTTTTCTTCCGATCAATGCCTTCAGCAATATTTGGTTTATTTTCAGCAGGGTCGTAACGAGAAATGAATGTTTTGAGCGCGGTCGAAATACAAAATATTTTGCCGTTGTTTAAATGCTCTCCACATTTTTCAGTAATGAATCGAAGATTTTAGACATGGACCAACGACTCGTAATCGCTGGAAGGTGTATGTAAATCAATGTGAGGAGAAGAAGAAAAGGGTTAGTACTTAAGCCACTCATCAATAATTCGCTTTATTTTCATAAGCCGACACGAATTTGTTAATATTCTCTTTATTGACAAAGGCTGACTTTTTGGCAGATTTCGCTTTCTTCAGAGCCTGGAATGGTGAAGTTTACCTCGATGTAATCACCTAAATAGCTCTATAACCGAAAAATTACGAAACCTAGATTTCAATCGCATTGGAAGCGAAATAGCTTCTTCACGCACTCGCCGTTTTCTATAGGTTTTTCACTGAGTATTCCACGCAGAGAGCAACCCCACAGAGCTCAAATGGATACACACTGCCCCTCTCACGTTAAGATATCGCTGTAAGATATTGTGTAAGGTCGACCTCGCGTGGTGATGAGGCATTTGATTCTGCGGTTAATATTTGAATTCTTGGAATTGATGCTTAGAGGTTTACCCGCTGAAGTTTTCAATTCTTGCGCATTTTTTTAAACTTGAAAATCAATCATCAGTGATAAAGTTAAGCCGACTAATGTAAGCTTTGATAGATGGGTCTTGCAACGTAAATTCTTGGAAATGTCTTGGAACGTAAATCTCAACATGTGAAAGTTCATTTAGTTTGCTTTAGGGCTCCCCAATGCCTGGAAGTCCGCGATGGAATGATGCTGACACGGATTATGTCCCTCCTGGTGTTAAAAAACCACGCAAATCTCATCATATGGGGTGTACTTCCAGTCACAAGAGCGAGAGCTCGAAGAAATCAGCTGTTCGTTCAAGGGTATACGTGATATAGTTATCTACGACACACGTCGTTCCCATCAATGGCTTTTCTTTGCTATTTTCTAAATCACTTTTCAAATATGGTACTATATCTATGTCTACATCGTTTAGCCTGCGGTACGAGTTTCGGAGGACGCCCGAGAAGGTATTGAGAAGATGCATGCGCTGATCTCTACACCACGACCTGTGGATACGAACGTTGGTGAAGGGCTGGTGCGCGTAGACTTGCCACATTCATCAAACCGCAATGAAAAACTGTACAGCGAGGGGGAAGAGCTCAATGACGGTAGATCGGTTGTGCGGATAATTGATAAGGAGACGGAGTTTGTTATGTCTTTGAAGTCTCCACTGGATGCTTACTGCCGTGAGTTTTGTTTTTTTTTACGCTATAATTTGAACAATTCTTTACCACATTGGCTGTTCATTTGGTGTCTGGTGTTTAAACATGCACATTTTCAGTCAGTGTTCGAGATTTACTCAATACATTAAGCGAGTATATGAATACCCCCAGTTTTCGTCAAGAGGTTGAAGACAACATCACGCTGGAAAAGGTAAGATATTAATGGTTCTGTTGAAAGGTTACTCACGTATTGGCTATCTGACTCCTCTATAGACATCTTTTTGGAAAATTTTGTTGAATCAAATTATCATTACACTGGGTTTCCAACATCAGTTCTATGCACTTCTTCTGAAAGATCGCCGTTTGCATTTCACGTTCGTGATGTTTTCGTTGTACTATAGTTGTACGTACTGTACTGTTGATCAAATCCGAGGGAGTAGAACCTTTGCTCCTTGAATTCGATAAAAAATTATCTTCTTATTACGCTTTTTAATTTTTATTTACTGCCTATTCTTTTATGATGGCAAAATATTATGTGAGGTAGAACTACAAAAAACACAAAAATGCTGAGATGTAAACAAAACTCGTATCCTCAATCGCGCTTCAAAGCGGTGATTACCGTTTTTCGAGTTTCACATGATAGCAGTCACATCAATTGAGACCTTTGATTTGCCTTTCTTTCAGTCAGTTATTTTTCCTCTAACGGTGCTATCAGCAAATATCGGTCAACAGGAGTGATGATTTGGGTGAGGGCACAAAACGGCTTTGAACCCTGTTAAACTTAAGCTGAGAAAGTATATGCACTAAACAGGAATTAAATGTGATTTCGACTGCATCTTCAGCGTAACTTGGTTCTATGGCGATTCATGCTGTCCAGGTTATTTCTCCTGACAGGTTTGCTCGAAGCACCGTTAGGATAGGAAGAAAATCTTGCTGAGAGAAAGGCAAAGTAAAGGGCTCGATTGATATGGTGAATAGCGCATGATTCACCGGAAAAGGTAGCCTCTGGCTCGAATCCCATTTCAGGTTTCGAGTCTCATATCTCAGCATTTTTGTGGTTGTATGTTGTTACTGTTACAGTTCGATAATTTCTGCATAGCGATCATATGTAGTATTTATTCGTTGGGCATAACTTTTTTTTTCTTTAAGGCACGTAATGCTGAACTTGTTGAGAAGGTACGTCAGATGCAAGCAGCAGTGGCTGCACAGAGAGCACAAGGAGTCTGCGCTCTCTATGAACGGTTGAATGATCTCGGTATGAGTGATGTGGAAACGCCTACTGAATTGTTGCAGGGGTATGTTGGCGCACTTTAGTTGTGATTCTGACTTCTCAATGGTCCTGTAATGATGAGCTTTTTTGCCGTGGATATGACTAATGTGTGTTATGTCGGCCTAAAAGGTCTTACTTCTGGTCACTGCTTATTTTCTGTCGTATTTGGTTATTGCAGTTCTAAACAAATCGTCGCCCAGCACAAGGTTTTGAACCAACGTGTTTCCAGTTTTGAAACTGAGGTACCCCATTTATTTTGGTGTGCATGTAGAACCGTACGTTACTAGTTCTGGTTGTTTTGAGGTTCATTTCTTCATCATTCGAGAACATTTAGGTAGCCATGTTGGAAGGGAAAGTCCGAGCTGTTAGACCGTATGGTGAAAAGTTGATTGAAGCACTGCATTGTACGTACTCTGTCCAAACATCTTTTAAAAAGTTTGAGTTTTGCTGTTTTTATAAATAACATATGAAAAGTTTATCATTTAGCCCAAGGAGACAATCCTTTCAACGTGGAGGAGTTGCTGCAGAGTGTAATGAGTCAGATGGGTAATGACAACACTTCAACGGCCTTGCGTCTTGAATCGGAGAACGAGGGCGTTGAGGGTCTATTGATGTCCCCTGTTGGTGGACCGTCTACCATTGGTCCCATCCATGTTGCTAGTTCGTCTCGTAGACCTCGTCAGCGTCCTCGGGCTGGCCCTGGTGCACGAGGAAAAGGCAAGCCTGAAGAAAATTCGGAGGAGATGCAGCGTCAAATCAATGAGATTGTTCAAGCGGTAAGAGATTTGTTTCCAGCAGTGACACGATATTGACTACGGTTAGTGTGTCTAGTTTTGCATTATTTCAGGCATTAAAAGTTGACAGCGCAGCTAAAGAGAAAGAACGTCGCTCTAGGGGTACCGAGCGTCCGGCTCGTCGTTCTGCTGCACTACATGTGAACACTGACTCTGTTGTTGTTCCTCTACAGCGTTCTGCCCAGTTTCCAATGGCTTCTCGTCGCGACGATCCCGAATTGGACGTAGTGGCCACAAATATTTCTACTAGCTGTGCGCAGCCACCTTTTACAAGCGCAACAGTCGCTCCTTCTGCGGGTAACGTGTGAGTGAAGTCAATTATTATATTGCCTCTTAAATTCGCAACTACCTCATTGTCAATGTTTTTCTTATTGGGTCTCTTCTTAAGCGCTCTTTCAAGTTTTCCTCATCATTTTGTGATTTTGTGGGAACATCTCAGTATGGATCTATATTATTCTCTTCTATCACATGCCTTTTGATGCGCGTTCATATCTTTCCATTGAGCATTTTGTTAAGCATTGCCAACGTGATCCTTCTGAAACTGCCTATTTTTGTCCATGGTCTCAGCACATAGGATAGCCAGCTCTCATTTCTTCCTGAATGGCGTTACGATAGGCATTTTATCTACCTATATGTACTATTTATTTATTTATATTATCTTATAAACTGACCTTCTTTAGCTGATGCGAAGTTGGTATAGGTCTTCGTTGTCGTCGTTCTCGTCGTTGTTAGTGTTGTTGGTCGATGGCTGCTCCTGGAGCTGTCAAGAGCACGGCTCTGAGGAAGGCGAAATCGATGAAACGTCAGCCATCGACCAACAGCAACAACAACAACAACAACAACAACAACAACAACAACGACAACGAAGACCTATACCAACCTTGCACCAGCTAAAGAAGATCAGTTTGTAAGATCATATAAATAAATATATCAACTGTCTATGCCGAAGTTTATAGAAAGTCGGTCTTTTGAGTTGTATTATTCACCTTTCAACTTTTCTTTTGAGTGACAATTAATAATGAATCATGTAAGGTACGCGCTAGATGATGATGTATACTGTCTGATCCTTTCACGAAAAGTTCTTGTAGTACTTCGTTTGCTTAAAGCAAGTGATATTTCCTATTAAACGGGTAGAGCATTTATTAGTCAGTATAAATTCAGCTCGAAATACAGAATTTGTTATATTTTCCAGATTTGAGCTGTCCATTTGGTCAAGTTATATCAGTTCTATCGTGCAAACATTACATGCTCAACATTTATCGTTGTTAAAAAGTTGTGCTTTCATATAAAGCTAAATATGACTCGTTCCTACTGATGAATGTGGTGGTACATTGCCAAATTCTTATCTCTTTGCCAGTTCGATTAGTTTTCTTTCGTTCAACGATCATGATTTATAGCTAAATTTATGATCATATGGATATCTGCACAAATGAACTAACGGCATCTTTCAAAATTCCACTAAGGGATAAGGATAAGGTCCAGGGCTCATCACCATTACCAGAAAAGTGAGTGTTTGTTTGTCACATTATTGATTAATATGCACATATCTTACGCTTCTTGCTTAGATCTCCTTTACATGATGCTCATGACGCACGTGAATTTTCCCAAAAGGATATCCAAACGATTAAAATGCGCCAAAAGAGGCGGTAAGTTTTGTTACTAGATGATTGGATATCTTGTAAGTACCGTAACAATTTATGTTTTAGCTACGCTGCAGATCAAGCAAAAGATGCAAAGAGGCTGCGTAAGCAAGAAAATGTCGTTCAGGTGCTTCAGTTTAGCACGATTGTGAAATTTTTTTTATAGTCTGGTCGATTCCTTTGTAGGACCCGTTGGCAGTGGTTGATAGAATATGCGGTGAAATGGCAGCTTCTCGTGTTAAACGAGAGTCGTCACATCGCGAATGCAAGGAGCGGCCTCATCCCGTAGAGCCAGATACTACGCTTTCAAGAGAAGCACTAGAACGACATGCACTAGATGACACGATGGCAAAAGAGGTAAGATTTCATTTAAGCTGCGGTGAAATGGCTTAGTTATTGCAGAACGTTTTTTGAGTAATTCTGACATTCACTGGGCGTTTTCCTTATTACAGTTTGTTTGCCGAGATTCGCTGATGGAACGTCTGTTAGGGTACAAAATGCTGTACGGTCGTATCGAATCATTTACATCAATGGGATATATAAAAGTTGAACCACCTCCCGAAAATACTACACGCGTATGTCGTTTTTTTTGGTGTTCGGCTTAAAGCTATTTTTCTAGATTACTGATTTTTACCGTTCTGTTCTACATACTTTAGGACGAACAAGGGATGGTTAATGTTAGCAGTTCCAAACATCGCCGAGGTCCTTGTACACCGCCGTCAACTGGGATCATCGAGACTCCCTCCAATGTTCCACAGAAACCGAAGCAACAGCGTGGACCAAAAACTCCGCCGGGATCGCCTGGTTAGTATTATACGTTTTAGTAGGATCTTCCTAATAACGTAGTAGGGTCGCTAATTTTTGTTATCGTCAAGGACCTCGCACTCCTCCTCAGCAGTCGCAACCGCCTCAAGCTCAAACTTCGTCGTCATCTGTGGCTCCTGCCATGCAGTCTTTGCTTGCTAATATCGCTGCTATGGCTAGCACATCGTGCGGTCAACTTGCTACATTGGAAGATGATTTAAATAAAATTGTTGGTCAAGTCAATACGGTGAGTTATGTTTAAGTTTGCATAAAACAGCACTTTCAATGATGATATCCTAGGGCGTATTTCTGGAATCGTTTGTTAGTGCGCTGCGTAGTGCAACAGCACAAAACGTTGGATGTGTAGCCGACGCGGAAAAGCCCCTTCAACCCGCAAACTCTATACACGAGATGTCATCAAAGTAAAACTCTTGATAGAGCTTGTTTTTCGTATATTTATAGTAAAACATCAATTTGGCTTTCTAGGTCGCTTGTGCGCCGTGAAATCGACACAGATTCGGTGAAGATGGAGCTTGTTTCGGACTGCTCTTTGTCGCCTTTGCGTCCGGAATCACCACCTCGAGGCAACTCACCTCTTCAAGCTCCACCTCCTCCACCACTGATTGCTCCTCCGCCACCTCCACCAATTTTACCCCCGCCACCAACACAAACTATCGCATCTGCACCTCCACCCCCACCTCCACCACCAGGAGTGGTGAGCTTCATTCTACTTTACTCTATTTTAATCTTTTACATTCAAGTTATTCATAACATTTTTTTTAGGTACCCTATATTCCGATCGTTCCTTTGCCCGCTACGAACATCGGCATGCAGGCTCCACCTCCTTTGTTACCACCACCTTTCCCCATTCCACCCAATTTTGCAGCACTACCACCGCCTTTGCCACCATATCCGGTTCAAGTGCAATGTCAATCTGCAAGTCAGCACTTAAATACCGATCAAGTGAAAGCGCTTCCACCACAAAAAAATCAGGTGGTTGCACCTCCATTTGTCCCGACGATACCCAATCTCACCATTCCGCCGCCTGGTGTTGCCAATCAAGCAACTTCAGCCTGCGCAACCCAACTTGTCGTTTCTTCCGTTCCACCATCACGAACATCTGATGCGCCTCCACATCCTCCTTCTACTTGTGTTCTTAATCAAAAGCCACCGGCTACGAGTGTCTCATCGGTTACGAAAGTAACTGATAATACAGTGTTTCGTTTGGTAATTGGTGACTCTGGTGCTAAGAAAACTAATTTGTCGTCTTCAGTGAATATTCAGAAGCAATCTTTAACCGACAGTTGGTGTGGAAAGAATAACTCTACGAGGGGATCTTCTGGATTAACTCATTCAGCTGCCGAGAATTCTTCAGCCAATCCATTACCTGCAGTGTTCGATCCCACAAAGTCGCATAATTCGGAAGGTTTTATGAATGACAACAGACAACGTAGTGGGCCTACATTCGGTAAACAGAATGAAAGTGCTCTGCAGCACAACCGTGGTGGTCCGAACCTAAACCACATTCGTCAACCACCATCAAATTCTGTGGCTTCGTGTTCAGGTGGGACACCTGCGCTTTCTAATCACATACCAAAGCAAACTGTTCAGCGAGTGATGCTTAGTCAGGAAACAGCTGCCACAAGCCAAAGTGTAACGAATACCTTGTTATCGGCACTTGGAATTAGTTCATCATCATCAGCGCAGCCTAAGGCAACACAAAATCTTCCTTTGAAGCCTCCAGCACCAGTAGACCGGTTTGGATGTTCTCTTCCATATTCGAATAATCGTGCTCCTGTTCTATCTGGTCCTACTGGTCCACTTGGTCCTCCGCCCTTCAGTTTTCCGCAACAACCTCGCTCCTTCTTAAATAACACCCAAGCACCTCGACATGTTCGCCAATATCCTCGAGTACAAAGAGGTAGTGCTGGACGTCCTTACCGACCGCGTGAATAATTGTGGCTTTCAACCGCCATGTATCGATCGGGTTATGATTTCGAAATCGTTCGTGTTTATCATTTTTACGAAAGTTATTGGTTGCTGACTAATAATTCAGTGTGCCACAACTTTGTGGTAACCGTTTGTGGTCCATCTTCTTAGTGTTTGCAGTCTCCTTTCTGTTCGGTCGTGCTTCGAACCTGACGTAGTTATCATCGTTGACAAATGTGCTCGTCTGATCTTGGTAGTGGAATTACAGAATTCCTTTTATTTAATGAATATAGATCATCTTAATGTATTAGTCGTCATTGATTATTTTGAAATGTTTCATGTTGACATATTTGTTGACTCTTCCTTCTTCATGTATTCGTACTTAATGCTTTTCTTATAAAGATATTCTATTCGTTTTTGATGTTCAAAGTACTTGCAGAAAAGCTCTGCATGTGAAATTGTTTTGAAAGAAGAGGAACGTATCTGCATATTCATCTCTCTTATGTTCCACATTTGTTTTATCTATTAAGGCACCCATTGCTTCATTTGAAAAAAAAAGGGAATTTATTAAGGCTTTAATCTCAGCTGCTCTACCCGTCCACTCTTCCTACTCTCTGTTGAGTCTTTCTGTTTACTTCGGGTTCTCTTCATTTCCTAATCGAGTTCACAAAGCACTCTCTGAACCATCGTAAATTCTACTTCCTCTGGGTTTCATATACGTTCTGTCATCAGCCCCTAGTCAAGATCAATACAACCGTCTTTTTCCATTGTCTCCTCTATTTCTTTTATTGCTGCAATTATAATATCAGGCATTCATTCTACTTTTAAAGGAATCATCATTCATCCTTTTACCGATCAAACACTGTCTTATTTTTCAGTTAACACCTCGAAGAGGTCAGCTAGGATGTTACTCTACTGCTATAAAACTCTGTTTTTATTTCAGCCATTTCGTTCAGAGAATCGCTATCATTTCCTCTATCTCTTTTCTCTCTCATATATTTTTTTATTCTTAGTTGACATTTGCCTTTTTCGTTATTTTACCTTTCATTTGCGCTCTCCACACTCCATGGTGCTTTGCTGGTGACGTGGTGGTCTTCAGATGGCGATGCTACTTACACCTGAAAGGCCGACTCATGTGATCGCACGATTATTTTTTTCATATAATATAAAGCATATTTTGTGCTATTTGTGAGTGTTATTCGAAGTGCTGAAATTGTTTTACTGAAAGTGGCAAAGTGTTCAGTTTTCATTAGTTGGTGAGCAAAGAGCTCCGCTCGAAAATCACATTGTTCCCGTTGCACTTGTTTGATTTGGATTTCACTGTATCCTTAGAATTTAACTAAGACTTTTGGTATCCCTATTCAAAAAGTAGTTTCGGTGAGTTACTTCAAACTTTGAACTGAGAACATTGTACATCTGCTCGTTTCATCATGAAGCCTGATCGCATCTCTAGGTGTCATCATAAGTATTAAGGAAATGAACAGTTATTGCTTGTTCATTACGTTGCTTCAAACGAGTGATGTTCCAAACCCCCCTTTGGGCACCGTTGACTATTTTGGTGGAAAACCTTTGTTTTGTAAAGCTACGTCGCCTTCGCCTTCACAGTTTATCGCCTCAAGAGATCAGTATGAGAGAAAAGAAACTGTGGTCTATGAGTAGTATGAGTTCATACGGTTGTGAGCGTTTTTTTTTTGGGGCTGTAGTCCTCGACTTAGGAGCTCATGTTGAAGGGTTGTGGTGAACATATTGATTCTGAAGAACTCAAAATGCGTTTATTCGCCATGGGTCGGGTTGAGGTGATCATTATGTTTATGTTCGGCATGTATAGGCTAGCTGCACAGGTTTTTTTTGTTAAAGCAGCAGTCAAGTTCCAGTCCTACAAATACGGTCTAATCTCTGCTTGGGGTTGTTATGGTCGAGTCGTAAATACTTTCTTGATGAAAGCGAGTACTATCTAGTTTACTTGCCGTGCCTACGGTTACTTTACCACCTAGTCGGCTGGTTTGTGGTTGTGGTTACAACACTCCAATTAATAGAGTCAATTGCGCTATAGTTCCTTTATCACCACGAGTTCTATTGAAAGTAAGGACTAGTCCAATCCAATATTTGTCACAATGAACGCCAACCTTGGTTATGTTTCTGTGTTCACTCAATTTTTCTCTCTACGAATTTTCCTGGTTATTAACGAGCTGCTCAGAGTCCTCGCAGAGCCTCATCTGCACAATGTATCTGTGGGATTCCGGGTGAATCGCTTCTGATCGGTGTTTAATATTCTGGAAATTGTTGGCACCTTTCTATTTACTGTCTTCTATCATGATTCCTATCCGACGAAAAACTTCCAGCATCCTCAGGATGGCTCGTGCTCACAAACATGGCTGAGGCGACTTTCCTTGGTGTGTTGGAGTTTTCGTCTGCTGTCTTCTCTTATTTCCTTCACTTTTTATATCCACAGATTATTTGCTAAACGACCTCGATAATTTTTATTGCTGTGGAGTTTTTCACCCACTTCTGGGCGGTCACTTCCATGGTATTCCGACCTTCGAGTTAACGCTCGCCAATGGTTCAAAAATCTCGATGATACCAGATGTTAGAATTTTTGTTAAGTGTCATTTCGATCTGTTTTACCCAGTATTAATTCAAAAAGAAATGTGTAAAATATTTAATTGTAAATGATATTCCAACTTTAATTTATCTTTGAACTTTTTTTTGGAAGCATGACGTATCGAACGGCGCCATATTTTTTAGAAAAGAGAAATGAGAGAACAATTCTCTTTCTTCTGGTTAGATAGTTGGCACACTATTGGTATCACATCTATATGTGGTAGTTTTTTCTTCATAAAATATGGTGATTATAAGGACGCATGTGGTGCAGTGGTTACAGGCGACTTGCAACACACGTGGAATCGATCCTTGTGTCCACGGCTCGGAAAGCCTTCCATCCCTCCATGGTCGGCAAATTGATACCAGACGTATCTGCGAGGATAGCAGCATTGGTTCGATGCATCGGTAGGCCACCGCGAGTCATTGTAAAGGCCAGATATGCATTCAATCACCTCCGAACGATGCTTAACGAAGATGCATGGCGTATCCCTCAGGGGTTGATCAACGCCAAGAGCTCTATCCTTTTTCCTTCTATGGTGATCATTCTCGGCCTCAGAAATTGTTTGACTCTTTGTAGCTAGTACACTATTGATACTGGAAGTTAATTTCTCAGGACGGGCTCTAGGTAATAAATTTTTGTGTCTCACGACCCTATGAGATGCAACTTCTTCATGGAACGGTACAGCCATCCATTCCAAAACTATGTAGTGCCTCGTTCTGTGAAACCAACCCTTATCCTTGATTCTGAACGTCAGCGCTTTTTATTCTCCACAGTGCATAACTCTAATAATTCTCATGTCCTACATACTACACACGTCGCATTCCTCTAACAACGAATGCGTATTAAAACAGTGGGCCATGCTGGTTTTCTGATAGCTATCGATTGTTTTTCGATAACAGAAATATTTCGAGATCTTAGAACTTGATTCACCTACAGGAGAGATTTTATTGCCTCAGAAGTGTATACGATTCTTATGACTTATCAGTTAAAACAGCCACAAGGATATTGAGATATTAGCAAAACTCTGGACGTCAATTAGGCTTCGAACGCGCAGTTACCCTTTCCGGAGCTCACGTGTTAACCATTGTACTAACCGAAGCTCTTGCTTTGCATTTTACTCAGCTATGTTTTTACTCTATCGCTGCATCAGCAATTATCCTACAACAGGAATGATCTGGGGAGCAAAATCGCATCGAATCCACTTAATCTGATGTCGCAGTCAAAATCATAGTGTCGAATGTCACAACATCCAGCCAATGTCATGGTTGTATTCCACATAATACCCTGTTATGAAAAATTGGGTAGTAAATCGTTGGAATTTGTATTCGCTAAGATTGGAAATAATCGATTTCTGACGTTAGTTGAGCATATCCTAGTACTAACAGTACATTGTTAAAACTGTAGCGTTCAACTTTACAAAAGCTTGACTGTTCTATCGATTCCTTGGATACTTGGATACTTGGACGGCCCGTCCCCATTGGTTGTGCGGACCCCAGCATAATCTCCATTTTTCGGAGTTTTGCTGCTTTTAACCATTGTGTTTCCCTGGAGTCCTGAGTTCAGTCTGGCCAAAGCCTGCCCCATTCATCGCCAAAGGCAGTCGCCGCCCTTGTGGATCAGAGTGAGATTTGCTACCACGCGTTTAATCGGTTACGCCTTTGAAATACGACTGTCCAAGAAGAAAAGCAAACAAAGGTGCGTCTCATGGATCCCAGAAAGATAGGATTTTTATTGCAAAGTTGTAGAACTGACAGCAAAAATCCGCGGATTGTAGTGGTTTACAGACTAATTAAGAAATTTCAGCATGATGTGAGATATGCTGGTTTAAAGTTGGAAGCGCATTCGTATGCTGGTATACTTAAATGGATGGAAGATTCTTATAACATTGATCAGCACCAAGCGCTGTTTATCTTCTTGTCCTTCTATCACTCATTATTTCATCCCAATTAGGGAGAATAGGATGCCATCTGCTTTCTTATGTTCACGAAAGGTTTTCCTTGATATTCAGCTATCCGTCTGATGTGGCCTATGTTTGCTTAAATGGTGATGTCACGTTCTTGGACTCAATAGTAATGTATCTCCTACTCTTTCACTTGACCACTGTTGCACCGTTTCTATTCCTCTTGATCAATCACAGTTTCGTCAGTAGCTTCCTTGAGAAGCCTGCATTAAGACTACGCGATTCTCCTTCTTCTATCCAGTTCCTCCCTAATGTTTTTCTCAGTGTTCATTAAACCACCCAAAGCCCACGTACGGAATGGTTCCTGTAATCAGAGAACCATTCAGCTTGATCTGTACTCTTTCGCAACATGGGTTTTTCATAAACTGCGTCTTCTTTCGCTTCATGGGAAGTTCGATTTTTAAACACCTTTTACACATTATAAAAAATTTTCCACGAATCTCCCTCATATGAGGGATCTCGAGT